GAAATGAGCCCCTCTGGCATTTCTAATTGCCTTGTAATATATGCCAAGATGCTCTCTCAGAATATCATAATGGACCTGCAACTTTGACTTTCTCCACTTCCGCTCTGCCTTTCTGCAATTTCTATTTAATGGATTAGTTTCCTCACTCATCCAAGGGGCTCTCCGTTTGGATGTGGCCCTTTTCACCTGTACTGGAGCTATGGCATCAACGGTTGCCCTTAACTTGCTATTAAAGTTATCAACTAAATCATCACAAGAGGAAGGCAGAATAGGTGGTGGAGTATTGTTCATACACTCAATAAAATCTGTAGCAACTTCAGAGGTAAGATAGCGTTTCTTAATAATGTGTTCAGTATTACCCTGTGCTATGGGAAAAAAGGTAGTAAAAATAAGAGCGGCACAACAGTCTGAAGACAGCCATGTTTCAGTGAAAAACATGCAATCAACTTTGCGCTTAGTAATGAGGTCATTCTTAAGAAAGGTTTTACTGGTGATTGCTCTAACATTTAAAAGCGGCATATTCAATGTGTGGGCCACTCTGCCCCTGGGGAATCTGCCTCGAGGTAAACCAATGGAATAACAACCAAATTAAATCATTAACATTACAACCACGTTTTCTGACAGTCTCAAATCTATCAGAATGGTAGGAGATAACCGTTTGTATAAACTCACTAGAAGGCGGAGTTAAAGGAACATAAATTAGGCTACTCACAATAACCATAGTGCCATTTCTACAGGAGTTGATATGCTTTCCAAGTCTTCTGTTGCTTATTCTGACAGGGAGAACTGGTGCACTACCAGACCCTGTCCGTCAGTCTCTGAAACAGTTTGCAATGTTCCTGGAAATAATCCTGGTCAGCACTCCTAGTCGCTTGATACATACAGCCCCAGAGTCTTACATCTGCTTCTTGTCACAGGACACAAGAGCAGCCAGGTTTGTTTACTGATAGTAGAGTCATTTTAGGGCATTCATTCACTCAAAAGGGCGTTGACCATTAGTTTCACAAAACTGTGTCCTGGTTGGGGCAAATAAAGATTTGATTGTTCAGTTAGAGCGTTGACAAAATATAATTTGCACAACCCCTGCCAAAACAGTGGATTCCTAATCATCCGGAAAAACAAACTAGCCTTGCTTATCTGGCTTATATTTGAGTATTAACGAGTTTTGTCAAAGAATAAGTCATATAACTGTCAAAATAAAGGCTCAAATATGTCACTGGGCACACTGGTTGAATCAACATTGTTTCCTCGCCATTTCAATGAAATGATGTTAAACCAACGTGGAATAGACATTGAATTGACGTCTGTGCCCAGAGGGTAAAATGCTTGTGAAAGAAAATATGCCAACATGCAAATAGAAGGTAAAACATTCCCCATCAACAAAGCCAAGAAATTAATCCCTCACCTCATTGAAAGGCTTCTTTATTCTCGGGCCCAGTCTTGCCTTAGGCCTGTGCTTGAATATGAATTATTGGCAGCCTGTCAGAGTACACCGAGAGCAAGTTATCCGGCTGAGTGGAATTTCCAGACTCATTGTACTAAAGGGAAGAACCCAACAACAACAATAAATATGATTTACCAAAAGCAGCAGACAGGAAACTGAGAAATAAGGAGGCTTTGTTCTCCTGAGTCAGCATCCTACGATTTTTACAAAAATTCATTGGATGGATTTGCGGTACATGCCGAGTCAGCAATAGCCTGCTAGAATGGCCCTATCAACAAAACATCTATTCGACCTCTAGTCTATATTAATGACATACAGTGCATTTGGAAAGTATTCAGACCCCTTGACTTTTTCCACATTTTGTTACATTACAGACTTATTCTAAAATGGATGAAATTGATTTTTTCCCTCATCAATCTGCACACAATACCCCATAATGACAAAACAAAAACAGTTTTTTGTAAATGTTTTCACATTTATACAAATGTTTAAACTGAAATACCTTATTTAAACCCTTTACTATGAGACTCGAAATTGACCTCAGGTGTGCCCTGTTTCCATTGATCATCCTTGAGATGTTTCTACAACTTGATTGGAGTCCACCTGTGGTAATTTCAATTGATTGGACATGATTTGGAAAGGCACACACCTGTCTATATAAGGTCCCACAGTTGACTGCATGTCAGAGCAAAAACCAAGCCATGAGGTCAAAGGAATTGTCCGTAGAGCTCCGAGACAGGTTTGTGTCGAGGCACAGATCTGGGGAAGGGTACCAAAACATGTCTGCAGCATTGAACGTCCCCAAGAACACAGTGGCCTCTATCATTTTTACCTGGAAGAAGTCTGGAACCACCAATACTCTTCATAGAGCTGGCCGCCCAGCCAAACTGAGCAATCGGGGGAGAAGGGCCTTGGTCAGGGAGGTGACCAAGAACACGATGATCACTCAGAGCTCCAGAGTTCCTCTGTGGAGATGGGAGAACCTTCCAGAAGGACAACCATCTCTGCAGCACTCCTCAGTAAAAGGTACATGACAGCCCGCTTGGAGTTTGCCAAAATGCACCTAAATACTCTCAGACCATGAGAAACATCTCTGGAGAGACCTGAAAATAGCTGTGCAGCAACGCTCCCCATTCAACCTGACAGAGCTTGAGAGGATCTGCAGAGAAGAATGGGAGAAACTCCCCAAATACAGGTGTCCCAAGCATGTAGCGTCATACCCAAGAAGACTTGAGGCTGTAATCGCTGCCAAAGGCTCTTCAACAAAGTACTGAGTAAAGGGTCTGAATACTTATGTAAATGTGATATTTCAGTTGATTTATTTATAAATTAGCACAAATATCTGAAAACCTGTTTTTTACTTTGTCATTATGGGGTATTGTGTGTAAATTGATGAGGGGGGAAAACAATTGAATCCATTTTAGATTAAGGCTGTAATGTAACAAAATGTGGGAAAAATCAAGGGGTCTGAATACTTTCCGAATGCACTGTAATTGATTAAATCCTAATTCCACATACCATAATTTTTGTATTATCCCCTTTGAGCACAGAGGGCCTGCTCAGATAGTATAGGTAGATTATTTATAAACAATTCATATGACACACATCCATGAAAAGAAACTCCGAACATATGTTTAGGAATGACAAGAAAAAAGTGAAACTGTATTGATTATATACTGTTTATTACAAAATGTGGAACTGTTAAGAGAAGGCTCAAAGATCAAAGCAAATTTATCAGAAAGAAGGAGGATGGTTAAACAGGGAAATTATAACTGTATTGAAAATACATCCATTATGATGAAATGTGTCTTACCAATACAGATACTGGCAAGGCAATGCATTCAAAGTAAAAACCGAGAAATGAAATATACAATGAAAGATATTAAGTTATGATAATAGATAAAGAACCTCTTTATGATAACAGATTTACAGTGACTAAAGTTTAATTGAAAATAAAAGTTCATTCTGAGCTGAAACTATTTTCACTTACAGCATGACAGCAATGCATTTTCTTAATCAATTAGTATACACATTTGATAAAGAGGTAGATTCCCTGTATTTTTATAGGGAAATTAAACATTTGAATTCTTCCCACTCATACTCATCTGTTTTTGGTAGTAAATGAATGTAGAAACAGAAGGAAAACTTTTTAAAGTGTCCAAGTGAGATTTAACTGCTCCTAGCATTTGAAAACATGTAAAGAACTAATTCAGTAGATATACATTTTCACCTTTGTACCTTTTTGCTAGTGGCGAAAAAGCAACTTTTCTCAGTGTACACATTTTCATACAGAGGGACGAATTCTAACTTTGGATTTTCATGCACAACTCAATCTTCCATTGACTTCAATGCATGATTAACACAAAAGGCATGCAGATAGCAGGTTAGTATTCAGCCCATATAGTATATAGTCATGATGTACACTGAGTGTACAACACATTAGGAACACCTTCCTAATATTGAGTTGTACCCCCCCTCCCCCCTTTGCCCTCAGAACAGCCTCAATTCATCAGGGCATGGACTCCACAAGGTGTCCAAAGCATTCCACAGGGATGCTGGCCCATGTTGACTCCAATGCTTCCCACAGTTGTGTCAAGTTGGCTGGATGTCCTTTGGATGGTGGGCCATTTTTGATACACACAGGAAACTGTTTAGCATGAAAAACCCAGCAGCGTTGCAGTTCTTGACACACTCAAACCGGTGCGCCTGGCACCTACAACCATACCCTGTTCAAAGGCACTTAAATATTTTGTCTTGCCCATTCACCCTCTGAATGGCACACATACACAATCCATGTCTCATTTAACCTATTTTCTCCCCTTCATCTACACTGATTGAAGTGGATTTAACAATAAGGGATCATAGCTTTCACCTGGTCAGTCTATGTCAGCAGGTGTTCCTAATGTTTTGTACACTCAGTGTACACACAATATAAATGAAAGTAAACCATCACACAATAACAAACATGATTGAAGTAAAGCTACAGTTTTCCGATGAGGCTCCATGATGAGGCTCCAGATGTTCATGATTCAAATGTCTCCAGCTGTAGAGTATATTCAGGTGGTGAGAGTACGCTCAGAATGGCCCTCCAACCACTGACCTGCCCTGGATTTGAATGTCATCAAAAGGGAAAAGAGCAAGGATCTGAAAGGAAGGCATATGGTGGGGGGTTATATTTCACATATTGTCTACCACTTATCCAGACAACAGTCCAGTCAGTCTCTTTCATAACAATAAATAAGCTGGGGATGTTACAATTTCCCCCCAAATCATCACAAATATGTATTTCTAGCGTTCTCAGTGAATATCATCCGGACTTCGAGTCAAACGCCAAATACACTTTGAGCTGATTTCCCAGACACCGATTAAGCCTATAGCTATCGTCCTGGACTAAAAAAGCATGTTCAGTGGAGAATCTTTTTTTAGTCCAGTACAAGGATTAACTTGTGTGTGGGAAACTGACCATTCCTGTATAACTCACATCATCATTGCCGTCAGCTAGATCCAGTGCCGTCTCATCCTCCATGTTCCTTAGCATCTTGTCGGCCCCAGACTGGCAGAGCAGGTTGGCGATGGCTGCGTCCTGCCGGCCTACCGCTAGGTGAAGTGGCGTGCAGCCGTTAAACATCGCCGTGTCCATGTCGGCTCCCATGTTCAGCAGCAGAGTCACAGAGAAGATGTCATGGAGCTCCACAGCCAGATGGAGAGCTGTCTTACCACTTGTACCTTCCTGGGGGACAGAGTGAAGACAGGCAAGGGTGAGGGAATCAGTAAATCCAATTTCCCTTAAAAAAAGGATAGGGTGAGGGTAAGGCCACCAGGGGGAGCAAAGCACCAAACAATCTTAGTAAGGAATGCTGGTCTGGGCCTATTCTCTGACACGTCAAGCATCTCCAGAAAAACCCCTAGTTCCCAGCCAGCCTCATCACGACCCAACTCTAATTACATAAATCCATCAGAACCCACTGAGCTCAGGCCGTATCACTATCAGTCTGTACCTCTAAATATGTTTGTTTTTTAAATACCATGTGTTCATTAATATATCACATTAGCTCATATCATGACACGATTCATTTATTTCAAGACAGTCCTCAAAAGTGTAGTTTCATCATCTAAGTCGAGGTAAATGTATATCTGCCCTTTTACAAATGAAGAGGATTTAGCAAAGACACAACGTTATGAAGTACTAACTTCAGTATTACAGCACAATGTAATGCAGTACTTGAGTAATACAAGGTTATTGTAAGGGAGTACACCCGGGGGAGTCCCTGGACTAACCTGGATGTTGAGGTCTGTCCCTTTCTTCATCAGTAGCTTCATCAGACAATGCTGTCTGTTCACAGTGGCTAAGTGGAGACAGGTGAGACCTAAAAACAAATACTTTTTTTTTTGTATCACCTTTCAAAAATCACCTTCCTGAATGAGAGATTAATTTGACCACATGTTATAGCTAGTATCAAACAAGCATAAGTAACGTCATGCCAGGTGACACACAATAACATACATAAGCTACATATCCAACAAAATATAAAATTGATTACAACCATAATCATGATTTCCATCTCCAAAATCTACTAAGCCGGGAACATCGAATACCAGCTCAACAGCAACAAAAAATAGTTTAGACCACAGTCTTGTTTCGCACAGAGCAATAAAACACAACACGCGAGGCAAGAGCAACCTCGCACAGACGCCGACATACTGTAGACGCCAACACATCAACAGGAAGTGGCACTAAATAAAGAGAGACATCACATCATGGTATCGTTATAGCCTCGCACACATTTACATTTACGTCATTTAGCAGACGCTCTTATCCAGAGCGACTTCCAAATGACACAGTGTGCAAGGTGGCAACAGCTGATCATCCTGGGCCCTGTTCAGTAGGCAAACGTTATGGAAACGTTATGGAACAATCAAGTAGATGTACAGTGCCTTCGGAAAGTATTCACACCCCTTGACTTTTTCCAAATGTTGTTGTGTTACAGCCTGAATTTAAAATTGATTAAATTGAGATTTTTTTTGTCACTGGCCTACACACACAATACCCCATAATGTCAAAATGGAATTATGTTTTTTGAAATGTTTACAAATGAATAAAAAATGAAAAGCTGAAATGTCTTGAGTCAATAAGTATTCAACCCCTTTGTTATGGCAAGCCTAAATAAATTCAGGAGTAAATATGTGCTTAACAAGTCACATAACAAGTTGCATGGACTCACTCTGTGTGCAATAATAGTGTTTAACATGACTTTTGAATGACTACCTCATCTTTGTAACCCACACATACAATTATCTGTTAGGTCCTACAGTGAATTTCAAACACAGATTCAACCACAAAGACCAGGGAGGTTTCCAATGCTTTGCAAAGAAGGGCACCTATTGGTAGATGGGTAAAAATAAAACAGCAGACATTGAATATCCCTTTGAGCATGGTGAAGTTATTAATTACCCTTTGGATGGTATCTCAATACACCCAGTCACTACAAAGATACAGGCGTCCTTCCTAACACAGTTGCCGGAGAGGAAGGAAACCGCTCAGGGATTTCACCATGAGGCCAATGGTGACTTACATAGTTTAATGGCTGTGATAGGAGAAAACTGAGGATGGATCAACAACATTGTAGTTACTCCACAATACTAACCTAAATGACAGAGTGAAAAGACGGAAGCTTGTACAGAATAAATATATTAGAAAACATGAATCCTGTTTACAACAAAGCACTAAAGTAATACTGCAAAAAATGTGGCAAAGCAATTATTTTGTCCTGAATACAAAGTGTTATGTTTGGGGCAAATCCAATACAACACATTACTGAGTACCACTCTATATTTTCAAGCATAGTGGTGGCTGCATCATGTTATTGGTATGCTTGTAATCGTTAAGGGAGTTTTTCAAGATAAAATAGAAACGGAATGGAGCTAAGCACAGGAAAAATCCTAGAGGAAAACCTGGTTTAGTCACTGGGAGATGAATTCACTTTTCAGTAGGACAATAACCTAAAACACAAGGCCAAATCTACACTGGAATTGCTTACCAAGAAGACAGTGAAAGTTCCTGAGTGGCCGAGTTAACATTTTTACTTAAATCTGCCTGAAAATCTATGGCAAGACTTGAAAATGGTTGTCTAGCAATGATACATTTTGAAAAGAATAATGGGAAATATTATACAATCCAGGTGTGCAAAGCTCTTAAGAGCCTTACCCAGACAGACTCACAGCTGTAATCGCTGCCAAACGTGATTCTAACATGTATTGACTCAGGGGTGTGGATATTTAAGTTATTTGATATTTCTGTATTTCATTTTCAATAAATGTGCAAAAATTATTGCTAGAAAATCTATTTAATACATTTTGAATTCAGGCTGTAACACAACAAAATGTGGAATAAGTCAAGGGGTATGAATACTTTCTGAAGGCACTTTACATTAACTAGAACACACATGCCACCCTGACATGTAGAATAAGGCATCGTTTCAGCTCTATTTATGACATTTCTATCTGTAACATTTCATGTTTGCCTACAGTAGGTGGCCCGGGGTTGTATTCATTAATGCATACATTGAAAAACATTTTGCAAAGGAAAAAGAAAATGAGTGTTTCTTATACGGCAAGTCCAGGTAGTCCCTCCCTGTTTCAGTCCGTTTTTTCCCCATTTGGTGCCGAATAAATATGAGCCCTGCTCTCTCACCTCTCCAGTTCTGGGTCTCCAGCACAGAGCCCAGCATGCTGTGGGAGACATCCTGGGTCATCTCGGTGGCGCATGTAGCCCGGCCCTGTTCGCAGGCCACGTGGAGCGGCGTGTTGCCCTCCTGGTCCTGCAGCTCCAGGCTGGCCCCGTTCTCCACAAGGCCCCGCACCACCGAAGACAGGTTCAGGTAGGTGGCAAGGTGTAGCGGCGTCTAAGGACCACGCATAAAAATAGAATTACTACTATGGGGTACACTCAATATGGCCGCCAGTCCACCCATCACAGAACATTGACTTGGATGGGGATCCCCTTTCTAATAATTATATTTCTATGGAACCATGTACCAATCCGAACAAACAACCAACAAAGGGTTAGTATGGGAGGTTGGTGTGATATCTGACTTGGGAATCAGAATGGGCCCTCTTTTAAAGTGAATTTAGTACAATCAGGGTTGCTAAGAGCTGATCTAGGAGTTGATTTTAATTACAGTAGCTAGTATCGACACTGAGTGTACAAAACATTAGGAAAACCTTTCTAATATTGCGCTACACCCCTTTTTGCCCTCAGAACAGCCTCAATTTGTCGGGCATGGACTCAAAAGCGTTCCACAGGAATGCTGGCGCATGTTGTCTCCAATGCTTCCCACAGTTGTGTCAAGTTGGCTGGATGTCCTTTGGGTGGTGGACCATTCTTGATACACACGGGAAACTGTTGAGCGTGAAAAAAACAGCAGCGTTGCAGTTCTTGACACACTCGAACCGGTGCGCCTGGCACCTACTGCCATACCTCATTCAAAGGCACTTAAATATTTTGTTTTGCTATTCACCCTCTGAATGGCCCTCATACACAATCCATGTCTCAATTGTCTTAAAAATCCTTATTTAACCTGTCTCCTCCCCTTCATCTACACTGATTGAAGTGGATATAACAGGTGACATCAATAAGGGATCATAGTTTTCACCTAGATTCACCTGGTCAGTCTATGTCATTGAAAGAGCAAGTGTTCCTAATATTTTGTAACCTCAGTGTATGACTCATCTTTAGTATAGAATAGTTCAACTCTTTAATGCCATAGAAGGCTATACCAAGTGAGGGGATGAGCAACAATGCATTGGTAAGTAACTAAAATACAAATATGTAGGCCTAAGGCATCTCAATGCGGAACTGCTGATTGAACCGTGTAGGGGGGAATATAATGACTAATATAATCAGTAGGGCTTCCATTGCTTACGTGGCTTTTGGTAAAACTCTAACAGAACAGAGAAAGAACTATGTGTGTGTGAGTCACGGTGTAAAACGCTGACTTTGTCATTTCAGCTCTCTCTGCTTTCCTCTCTGACCCATCAGGATTTCTCCAGTCCCCCCCCCCCCCCCCCCCCCACCCTGTCCAGTTTACATGATTTTATCTATGAGACAGAGAACATTCCAGATAAGATTCCTCCACTCGTATTCGTTTTTTAAAGGCGGGAAAGCAGGGGAGTTTCCAATTTAATTTAAAATCTCTTATGAAATTACCCTGGATCCACCCACCGCCACCGAAGCGTTCCTGTGAGAGGATGCACTACTGGAGAAAGGGGAAGATCATTTCTCTTGAATTACACGATGCAGAAATAACATTACCACCTCCTCTGTCGTCATAAACATTGGCAATTGCAATCGTCAAGAGGAAGTGTCATGAAGGTTAAGTCAGTTTCAGTACACCAGTACAACCAGTGTTAAGGGTGTAAAGAGAGGAGTGTTGCTTTGTTTACTGTACCTGGTACAAGTTGTTCTGGATGTCCAAGACATGTTTGGGGAACAGCTGTATCAATTGGTGGGCAAAGTGTTCATCTTCATGGATGATGGCTAAATGCAGGACTCTAGAAGGGCGACAAAAACAAAACAACTTTTCTCATTACATTTCTATAATAAATCAGATTGATTTATAAAGACCTATTTTCATTAAAGTTGTCATAAAGTGCTTTTGTGGTAACCCGGCCTTGGCCCCACAGCAAGCAAAAGCAGTTGAGTTGCTGTCACTTAAACGTTGCATTCGACTAAAAGGTGAGCCGCCTGAGGAGAGTAGAATAGTTTCTCGTTCAAAATGTCCAGTTACTTTCCTTTAAACGTTTAAAAGTAAGCAGCCTCAGGAGATAAGAACAATATATAATTTGATGGAAATAATTATCTGCTTGAGCATTCTTAGAATGATATCCAGACCTACCTGGAAATGTAGCACATTGCATGAATGTCAACTGGTTGGTTAGTCGGCCACACAGTGCTTATTGGTTGGTTAGTCGGCCACACATTGCTTATTGGTTGGTTAGTCGGCCACACAGTGCTTATTGGTTGGTTAGTCGGCCACACAGTGCTTATTGGTTGCGAATGTTGTGCAATAATGGAACTTTTATGCAAAGAATAGTCATGTCAGGAGGATGTTTCATTCCACAAAGCACTTTTCAAATATGTATCTTCTTGGGTATCATTCACCGTAACCATAGTTTTTTGAAGAAGAACAAACAAAACTATTGGGTGATAAAGGGATGTATAACAAACACAAACCACAGGCCTATGAACTTCAACTACACAGTTAAAATGCAAATGCAATGCATTTTGTTCTTTACTGCACCCCATGTATGCTGTCATCACATTTGGTTCATACAGTCAATGTGGAAAACAACAACACCAAGAAACACTCACCCCAAAAGCTAAAGGGGAAGTCTAGCAGACAAAAGAGCCAAATGCAGGAAATGGACACCACAGTGTTTTGTTTAACCTACAACAAGGCTTTCCAGAACACATTGTTCACACACTATTCCCTACAAAGTGTACTACTTTTGACCAGGGCTCTATTCCCTACATAGTACACTACTTTTGACCAGAGCTCCATTGTCAACCTAACTAACTGATGTGAAAGTAGTGTAGAAGGCCGAGAACGCCAAAAGTATGCCTGTCTGTGGTAATTGTATGAGTTTCATTGACCAGCCTATTCTTGGGAGAGAATTACTCAGTGAAAATGTGCCCTGCCTCGTCTACCATGGGGAATTTCCAGGGCCGTGTCTTCTACACTTCTGCTTTCCAAGTCGACGCACCCCACAGGAGTTCATCCGCGATCAGCTCCGTGACAGCTTTCACACAAAGGCCTGAGAGTATGTATCACTCCACACTTAAACTCTCCTTTTAGTCGACATCACATGCTATGATGATTGGGCTTAGGATAAACATGACACACGCAAAGAACGAGCTGAGTTAACCCTGTGCAGGCTGAAACTACAGGCCTTTCCCCAAGCCCTTTTTTATTCATCCAGACAGCAACAACAATTTGTGGTGGTTTTGATTGTTCGCTGCAAATTCGTGCAGTAGGCCTAGCCTACGAAAACGCATCCATCTTGAAATTGTTATTGTGTTTAACACACTCAGCCATCCAGTCATTCCACCAGACATGACCGCATTAATGAAAACGTCACCCGTTTGTTGACTGTGGTAATTTTAGCCTATGCTTTCATTGCCAGATGAAACCCCTAAGAGGACAGCCAAGGAGCTGCACCCGTCCAATTATGTAAGATCTACCAGGTTGGATCTCGAAGGGTCTCTAGGTGCTTGGGGCGAAGGGTTGGTTTTTGGATTGGGCACAAATGTATGGGGTAGGACAGACACCATATTGTGAATTAGAATTGAGTTGATTGATATTTGCATGGCCCAATTGGTACTCAATATAGCCTATGCTATGTATTTTAGACTGGTAAAAGTCATATTTTGGATAAAGATATTAAGGACACCACTGCTGCGACTCTGTTCTTTATTCTTACTCTTATTATTATCTATTCTGATGCCTAGTCACTTTACCCTGCGTTTATGTACATCTCTACCTCAAATAACTCGTATTCCTGCACATTGATCTGGTACTGGTACTCCCTGTATATAGCTCCACATTGATCTGGTACTGGTACTCCCTGTATATAGCTCCACATTGATCTGGTACTGGTACTCCCTGTATATAGCTCCACATTGATCTGGTACTGGTACTCCCTGTATATAGCTCCACAGTGATCTGGTACTGGTACTCCCTGTATATAGCTCCATTCTTGTGAATTATATTCCTATTTTTAACTCCGCGTCGTTAGGAAGGGCTTGTAAGCAAACATTTCACGGTAGTCTACACCCGTTGTATTCCGCGCATTTGACAAATATAAATTCATTTGATACTGTCAAATTAAACTCAAATTAGCCTACTGTTGCCCGTATTTGTGTCTATACTGAAACATTTGTCAATTTGTGTCCAACAATAATTGTGGGCGGATCCCAATTTAATTAATTAAAATACAAAGTTAACCATGCCTTGGCTTGCACACACATCCACGCATGCGTGTGTATCTTGAAACATTGTTCACCAAAACTTCGTCGTCATGACAAGAACACGTTTTACTTTTTCAAAAACATAGCCATAGGGTAAATTAAAATATGAGTTATTTAAAAATATGTAAATAAAAAACGTACGTGTCTCCATCTTCAGTGATGGTGGTGAGAAGGTTTTCTTCATGTTCACTACATTCTGTGTTCTCTGCGCTGTCATCTTTAGACTTTGAAACGTTGCAGCCCCCTATAATCTCACTCAAACTCTCAACATTTAGTGACGATGAGCCATAAGCAGAATCCAACCGCTCCTCTGTGCTGGTGATGGTCAATTTGTCCCTGGCTTCACTGGGTTCAGAAGTCGAATCCCGATTTGTTTTGGTAAAGGGGTCATCTTTCATTAAAGATTGGAACGATTCAACACCAGAGTCCATTCGGTTATCCTCCAACAAATCAAATTTCCCCTTCGCATCTGCATCTGCGGCGCTTGCCATGGTGGCCCGCGACCCACAGTCACTCCAGGTAGGCTTGACCAATTTAATCCCTGAGAGGCCTATATGTTGCTTGATGTTGCGAGCAGTTCTCGGAGGAAAACTCGATCACACCTGAGTAGGAATTCACTGTTCCTTTCTGAAACCAAAGGTAGCGGTTGCGTTTCATACCACCGGGTCGAGCGCGTTTATTTTCCCCGCACACCACCAGTTTAGGCTACATGAAAATAAGTGGTCATCTTGCAACACCGCGCATAAATGGTATAAACGCTTCCCTCCACGCAAAATGGGGCATTTAATTCAAAACATCATAAGAGTCTTAACATCAGCAACAGGCTTCAAAATAACTTTGGTACCGTCATAACCTATGGTAAACCTGCATAGTTGAGAGCATGTGAACGATGAAACGCGATAGGGGAAGCGCTCTGCGTTTACGTGAAAAGGCGGACTGTTTTTGGCCCGCGATGGGGATGGGGAATCCCCGAAATGCGTATTATGCGCTTACATTACAACCACCCCCAACGCCTTGGAGTCTCCTTGACTTTACAGAGTAGGTTTGACCTACACTCTCCGTACCATACTTTCATTTGTGTTTTTTTCTAAACTAGTGTGTCACAATGTTTCAGTGAGTAGAGACCATATGATAGGCCTAAAATAGAATAGCCTAGACCTATACTCTAATGTTGCAATATGGAGACATATAACTTTTGTAGATACAGTGCCTTCACAAAGTATTCACACCCCTTGACTTTTTCAAAATGTTGTTGTGTTACAGCCTGAATTTAAAATTGATTAAATTAAGATTTTTTTGGTCACTGGCCTACACACAATACCATAATGTCAAAGTGGAATTATGCTTTTAGATTTTTTATTTTTTTAGAAAGGCTGAAATGTCTTGAGTCAATAAGTATTCAACCCCTTTGTTATGGCACGCCTAAATACGTTCAGGAGTAAAACAACAAGTCACAAAATACGTTGCATGGACTCTGTGTGCAATAATAGTGTTTAACATGATTTTTGAATGACTACCTCATCTCTGTACCCCACACATATAATTATCTGTAAAGTCCCTCAGTCGAGCAGTGAATTTCAAACAGATTCAACCACAAAGACCAGGGAGGTTTTCCAATGCCTTGCTAAGTAGGTAGATGGGTAAAAAAATATCATTTTGAGCATGGTGAAGTTATTAATTACACTTTGGGTGGTGTACCAATACACCCAGTTACTACAAAGATACAGGCGTCCTTCCTAACACAGTTGCCGGAGAGGAAGGAAACCGCTCAGGGATTTCACCATGAGGCCAATGGTGACTTTAAAACAGTTACAGAGTGTAATGGCTGTGATAGGAGAAAACTGAGGATGGATCAACAACATTGTAGTTACTCCACAAAACTAACCTAATTGACAGAGTGAAAAGAAGGAAGCTTGTACAGAATACAAATATTCAAAAACATGCATCCTGTTTGCAACAAGGCACAAAAGCAATACTGCAAAAAAATGTGGCAAAGCAATTAACTTTTTGTCCTGAATACAAAGTCTTATGTTTGGGGCTGTCACGATTTTCGTATGAAGCAGACCAAGGCGCAGCATGATATGCGTACATCTTTTAATGAGTACTTTACAAAAATAACAAAACAACAAAACGATACGTGAAGTCCTAAGGTTAACAAAACACAAACCTCTCCGGAACAAGATCCCACAAATAACAAGTGCAAAACAGGCTGCCTAAGTATGGTTCCCAATCAGAGACAACAAGCCACCCCGGCCAACATAGAAACACATAAACTAGAACATAAACATAGAACACTCCTGAGTGGCGCAGTGGTCTAAGGCACTGCATCGCAGTGCTAACTGTGCCACTAGAGATCCTGGTTCGAATCCAGGCTCTGTCGCAGCCGGCCGCGACCGGGAGACTCACGGGCGGCGCACAATTGGCCCAGGGTAGGGGAGGGAATGGCCGGCAGGGATGTAGCTCAGTTGATAGAGCATGGCGTTTGCAACGCCAGGGTTGTGGGTTCGATTCCCACGGGGGGCCAGTATAATTTAAAAAAAATAAATAATGTATTCACTAACTGTAAGTCACTCTGGATAAGAGCGTCTGCTAAATGACTAAAATGTAAATGTAACACTAAACATAGAAACTAACACCCTGGCTCAACATATGAGTCCCCAGAGCCAGGGCGACCGCGCCAACTAAACCCAACAGGGGAGGGGCCTGGTGGGCATTCCACCTCGGAGGCGGCTCTGGGCGTGACCACCACTCTCTCGCTACCCCCCGTAGCGCCCCTGGTCTGGTCTGGCCCCGCTGGACTGGACATCGGTGGAGCGGATTGCTTAGGCTCCGGTGTGGAGCAGCTGACCGGTACCTGACCAGGCACGGGCTGTGCCAGACTGACGACGCGCACCACTGGCTTGGTGCGGGGAGCAGGAATGGGCCGGACCGGGCTGATGACGCACACCACTTGCGGGGAGCAGGAACGGGCCGGACCGGGCTGACGACGCGCACCACTGGCTTGGTGCGGGGAGCAGGAACAGGCCGGGCCGGCGACGCGCACCACAGGCTTGGTGCGAGGGACAGGAACAGGCCGGGCCGTACTGGGAACACGCACCACTAACTTAGTGCGGGGAGCAGGAACGGGCCGGGCCGGATTGGGAACACGCACCACTAACCTAGTGCGGGGAGCACGCACCACAAAATTAGTGCGGGGAGCCGGACCGTACTGGGAACACACACCACTGGCCTTGTGCGGGAAGCAGGAACGGGTCGGGACGTACTGGGAACACGCACCACTAACTTAGTGCAGGGATCAGGAACGGGCCGGACCGGACTGGTGACACACACCACTTGCTTGGTGCGAGGGGACTGGGTTTCCTCATAAACCTCTGCTCCCTCTGCTGCCTAACCAGTTCCTCTCGCCGTGCCTCTACACTCTCCTTCTCCCTTATCGCCTCCAGTAGTTCCTCCCTCTGACCAATTAACTCCTGCTCCCTCATGACCAATAGCCCCCGTAACCTGGTGGCCTCCTCTCCTATTCTGCAGATTCGCCCTGTAGCTGCCTCCTGCTGCCCCGTCGTCCAAGCCGTGTGCCCCCCCCAAAAAAATTATTGGGGTTGCCTCTTGCGTGTCCGACGTCGGCACGGTTGGCGCCGCTACTCCTCTCTATGGCGCGCCTCCACAGTCTCCTCCCACGGACGGCGATCCATTCCGGCCTGGATTTCCTCCCAAGTCCAGGATCCCTTCCCGTCCAGGATCTCCTCCCAAGTCCAGGCTGTCTGCTCCTGGACACGCTGCTTGGTCCTGTTATGGTGGGATCTTCTGTCACGATCGTCGTAAGCAACGGACCAAGGCGCAGCGTGATATGCGTACATCTTTTAAGTCCTAAGGTTAACAAAACACAAACCTCTCCGGAACAAGATCCCACAAATAACAAGTGCAAAACAGGCTGCCTAAGTATGGTTCCCAATCAGAGACAACAAGCCACAGCTGCCTCTGATTGGGAACCACCCCGGCCAACATAGAAACACATAAACTAGAACATAAACATAGAACACTAAACATAGAAACTAACACCCTGGCTCAACATATAAGAGTCCCCAGAGCCAGGGCGTGACAGGGGCAAATACAATACAACATATTACTGACTACTGCATCATGTTATGGGTATGCTTGTAATCGTTAATGACTGGGGAGTTTTTCAGGATAAAAAAGAAACGGAATGGAGCTAAGCACAGGCAAAATCCTAGAAAAAAACCTGGTTCAGTCTGCTTACCACCAGACACTTGGAGATGAATTCACCTTTCAGCAGGACAATAACTTAAAACACAAGGCCAAATCTACACTGGAGTTGCTTACCAAGAAGACAGTGAATGCTCCTGAGTGGCCGAGTTAGATTTTCAAGCAGATTTAAGTAAAAATGTATGACAAGACTTGAAAATGGTTGTCTAGCGATGACCAACAACCCACTTGACACGGCTTGAAGAATTTTGAAAAGAATAATGTGCAAATATTGTACAAACCAGGTGTGCAAAGCTCTTAGACACTTACCCAGAAAGACTCACAGCTGTAATCGCTGCCAAAGGTGATTCTAACATTTGTTGTCTCAGGGGTGTGAATACTTATGTAAATTCAATATTTCATTTTCATTTTCAATACATTCGCAAACATTTCTAAAAACATGTTTTCACTTTGTCATTATGGAGTATTATGTGTAGATGGGTGAGGGAAAACATATATTTAATCCATTTTGAATTCAGGCTGTAACACAGCAAAATGTGGAATAAGTCAAGGGGTATGAATACTTTCTGAAGGCACTGTATGAGTAAGCATTCACAATAGGCCTAATAAAAACATAGAAATACAACTTGTGGCCTATAGTATAGCATACTAATGCTTACTCACTGTAAACACAACTTCAGTGGCCAATACAGCCTACTAGGTTAATGCTTACTCACTGTAAACCTAACTTTAGTGGCCTATAGAAAAGCCTACTAATGCTTACTCACTGTAAATACAACTGCAGGAGTTTCAGTGCAAGACTTGTAGCCTCATTTTCCAGCAGAGAGCACTGGCCAGCTTTTTATAATCCAACCCCAAAATGTATTTTTTACTTTGGTGTTCAATAGGTCTCCTGTAGGCTATTTCTCCTCTCTGATTCAAATCAAATCTAATGTTACATACGAATACAACAAGTTTAGACAATACAGTGAAATGCTTACTCACAAACCCTTAACCAACAATGCAGTTTTTAAGAAAATAAAAAAATTCAGTGTTAATTAAAAAATTGCTAATAATTAAAGAGCAGCAGTAAAATAAAATAACAGTAGGGAGGCTATATACAGGGGGTACCGGTACAGAGTCAATGTGCGGGGGCACCGGTTAGTCAAGGTAATTGAGGTAATATGTACATATGGGTAGAGTTAAAGTGACTATGCATAAATAATAAACAAGAGTAGCAGCAGCGTAAAAGAGGGGGGGTGGGGGGGGGGGGGGGCGCAATGCAAAT